CAGATCTTCTAATCGTGATAACTGATCTCTGGCTAATTTGGTTCTTCAAACGAATTTGCGGATTTTATTAAATATCTGGATTAAGTTGTCTAAGATTACTGCGCGTTCTTGTGTTCCCCGTAAAGGGCAGGTGTATCGATACTCGAAACCACGATCAGCAACGCAGCGACTGGCTGGCGGCAAGACAGCAACGTAATGACATCATATAATTAAAAAAGACACCTGACGAAAAACTTGACAAATTTCTGGACTTTTATAAGGAAACAGCCAAGCGAACAAAACTACATAAATGGTATAATATATAAATGAAATGTGCACCGTTTTTATTTTATTTTTTATTTTTTTACATGATTCCCAATTATTTATATTCATGATTTCTAGTATTTGTACAGGCTTTACATTTTTATTTCAATGTTGTAATTAGTAATTCATTTAATTTGATCTTTGAAGCAGATTTGTTATGTGACAGCATTAATTAAAGTTTCTTAAGGGCCAAGATCAAGTTATCTGCATCTCCTGCGCTCCTTCAAGCCACTCCCATAATATCTATCATCACTCAAATTAATGCATGGCTCAGTTTAACTGTACAGCATGTGCATAAGACTCCAATACAATTATAAAGTTATTATTTTATCATGAATAAATCTTTCAGCGAGTAAAACTGGCTGTCTATAGTATTATAGACTACACAACATTATTATATTATTTTTAAATGATTATTTTAAATTACTGTCCCTGGATCAGTAGGGTACTCTTCTAATAAAGTAGCAGTGGCTGGGGACAGATTTTAAGTATCAGTTCTGCTTTAAAAGATGCAATCTAATCGTGTTTACATGAAATAAGCTGCTCCTGAGCAGGTTTAAGCTTACGGACCTGTTGCTATGACAGCAACTCTGGGATGAGCTTCGAAGAACCAACCAATCGAAGATCATGCCAAATCGTCAAATATCAAATCCAGCTAACTGAGTTAGCGACATACGAAGAACGGGCCCCTGGTTTTCTACATCAGCGCCATTTGATCTGTTTATAACAGAGATTTCTGTGCAGAATCTGAATGCTTCTCACTAGGTCTCGCAGCAATCTTTACTCATTCTGCGGCGAATTCAAACGCTTCTCACTGGATCTCGCAGCACTGTGCAGTAACAGTGTCATGAAATCAACTTTGGTTCCCGCGTAAAGCTGTTCTGAGCTCGGACAAGTTTGTTTGCGTCGTGGTCCGAGCTGATAAACAGACTGCGCTACGCAGCTCAAACGAGTAGCGGGATTTTGTTACGCTTGTGTTTCGTTTGCCATTTGATGTTTCTCATTTGCAACAGAAATGGCAACGTGAGTTGAACAACAAGGTGGTCGTGCCAGTGCGACCACTCACAAAATTTACTTGCACCGGAAGAAAAAATGGTCACAGTCTGGAGCCCTGCTAGGCAAAT